AATCTCAATCTAACTAATCGAGACTAAATTTACATTTCTTTCGAAAGCATTTTTCAGTTTTTTATCGAAAGGAATAATTGAGACTAATTAAAGCTATAGTTACGCCGAAGGAAATTTTGCTTCAAAACTTCAATGCTACAAATGCAAGAAAAATGATCCGTACGGTTATATTGACGATAATAGAAACACGATAGTTACATTTTTCCGGATATCTATAATCGTGAACAGCTCCGAGTTACACTTGTTTCAATCTCTGTATCTCTGTAAATGAATTATTGAAAACTCGCGATACGTTCATGCGAGTTTATTTTCTCACAGGATGCCTGAAAATATAAGCCCGATTATTGCTCGCGTCGCATAACATGACAAGATTGTAATTAAAATGGTAATCACACCAGTTCGATAAAATGCCATCTCCATTACAAAGCGGCCAACTACCAAGAAAATATTAATCTACATCCTTGAGCGTTTCTACGTTTTATAAAAATAATGAAGGTGCTCGGTGGATGGCTTCCTTTCGGACGCCGTTTCATCGTAATAACTGTAGAATAAGAGGGCAGTAATTACTTTTCGTGAGACTGTCACGTTTGTCGGGTTCGCCCTCCGTGCACTCCGCGCGTACTTCGGTTATTACTAACAATGAATAGCAGTGACCGTGTTATAACCCCTCTTATGACAATTCATGATACGCAGTGCTTTGTAGAAAATAACGTTTTGCGGTATATTCATTGTAATAATAATAATAATATTTACGCCATTATACCAAACCTTTTTTCAAATTACACTCACGCATTCTCAATAATTAAACTAAATTATATTTATTACTTATTAAAGGATACAATTAAATTAAAATGAATAGCAATTATTATACTTAAATTGTATTGAATTAAATTTTAGATAGATCCTTCTGTCATTGTCGTATTATCTCTCATCGTCAGTATTATCAGATTTATCGTAAAATATTAATTTGAATACCTATATTACAGATATTCGTGGCTGTATAATAATTTTTTTTCGAAATGCTCGATAGTTATATCATTTTGTAAAAAACATTTAGCAAAAGATTACGTTGTGCTACCGAACGACAAAAGTGTCGTAGATCTCGATAGTCGTGAAACTGGTCGGCGTTAGGCAGTCTGGATATATCGAGGCGCGAGAGAAGGGTCTTCCTCAGGTTCTCCGGCTTCGATCCAGACGGGGACGACCTCTCCCTCGCCGGAGGAAGGAAGGAAGGACGGACGGAAAGAACCGAGCTAGAGAGGCCGGTGAGAAAGAGAAAGAGAGAGAGAGAGAGAGAGAGAGAGAAAGAGTGAGGGGGGTACACGCATGACCCTGAACCCAACCGCCGTGGCACCCAACCCCCGGTACAGGGGTGCGAAGCCTCGGGAGAGAGAGACGCAGGAGAGAGAACTCGAGATAGAACGGACGAAGCAAGAGCGGAAGAGATGAGACTATGGCGGCGAGGGGCGATATACCGTATATACGAAGAAGAGAGAATAGAAAGAGAGATAGAGAGAGAAAGATGGAGAGAAAGCTAGAGACTACGCCGTCGAGAGAGAGTACAGTTCCCGAGATCAATACTCCCGCGTCTTGCGATCATTCATCTTGCCACGCCCCTCTGCTCTCTCCACACATTTCCTGTCTTTCTCGTTCCCTTTCGTTCATCCCCTTTTCCCCGTTGCTCTCTTCCTCTCTTTCCCTCCCTCCCTCCCTCCCTCCCTCTCTCTCTCTCTCTCTCTCTCTCTCTCTCTGTCTCTCTCTCATTCTATCTTGCTCTGTCTGTCTCCTGTCTCTCGTCTCCCCTTTTCTCACCCTCCGCGATCTTCATCCCTCTGGTAGCACCCCTCATAGTCGTGGTCGCCGTCATTTGGCGCCCAATCGTGGCGCCTAATACGAATGGAGCAAAGGGGAGAGAACTTTCCGAAGGTCGCCGGAGAGAGGGAAATCTGAAGAGAGAGAAAGCGTGATAACGCACAAGGTGGTGGCTCCGGTTTCCTACGCACTGACTATGCGCGTTCATGGGAAAATGACGATTTCTTAGATTCGTATATGAAATTTATTAAAAACTGTATTGATTATTTTTGTAAGATGATTATATGCAATATTTGAGTATACGCAGTGATACACTGTTTTCATTCTGAGATTATTATTTGAGTTTATTAAATTTAAAATATTCGAAATATATATATTTTTATAGAGATATCAGTACATTCATATAAGAAAATCGACGTATACGATATATCGTATGATGTTATGGCAGAAAGAAACATCAATTTGAAAATATAAAAGACTGATATAAACGCTGAAAATAACAAATAATTTACATAAATGTAATTGAAATATTATATATGTATATATATATATCATAAATTTCATTTTCTATAATTTTCTCATTTTATGACTGATATAGTTAATAATTCTGTATATTTTAGAATAATATATATTAGAATAGAGTAATAATTTTAAGGTTCTCTTTAGTATTTCTGGAGACACACGGTAGTGTCTCGGTAATATTTTACGCGAATGTTAAATATTTATTATACATATAAGAAAAAAATAATGTAGAATAATTTTTTCTCAATTGGTATATGTGGTTTTTGAGAAAATCTATTCTGAATATATACGCACGTTTTGCCATGTACTGATACTTGTCAACATTTATTATTTGTCAAATATAACATATTTGAAGTAAAACGCTTGATAAAATTCGTTCACATGATATTTATTATAAAACCGAATATACTGTTGTCAGATTTCATTAATCTTTTAATATGGGCTAAATACAAAAAATAAGTTGCAGGAACGCTTGCAAATAAATGATAACAGTAATATTTCAACTGCTTCTAATTATTGTAAAGAAACGAATTAAATTGTTTTACAAATATCAAGATATTGCGAAATAGAAGTATCTTATGTTTGAAATAATGTTATTCAAAACGTCTTATATTTTATGTTTCTTATTTCTGTTTCTACGAGAAATCATTTCCGATTATATCACAGTTTACTAGATATCTCGTACGTAAATTATTGACAGAAACAGATGCTTGTCCGATAAAAATAATAGTTCATGGAATATAACGGAAATAAGGCCAAGAAATTTTCTGATTTATGTTACAATATAAAAAATTGTGTGAATGGCGTATGTTAGATACATGATTTAAACGAATTTTCGATGTTAACCTCTACCGTTTTTGTTCGATATATTGAAAGAATGAATAAATTAGATAATGTATCACGTAATGAAGAAAAATTTTTTGAAAGAGATACTCGTTCTAGATAGAAAAGCCGGTAAGATCCCTCTTACGATAAAGGAGAGTCTACAATCAGATAAAAATATCAAATGATGAATCGATATATCGATTTTCTTTCCGGTATCTGTGTTTGCTTTCTTCTCGTTTGTATTTTTTCCATTTTCTTTTGATGACTTACCGAAGCAACTGGTGTTGTTCTATTTTACTTTTTTATTTCTGCTTTTGCCGTAATCATTTTAAGGATACTGTTCCTTCGTTTATAAAAGAATAAGCAGTTGCTTTAAATGAAAATAATCCATAGAAAAATACGAGGAGCGATGTTAAGAAATAAACTATATGATTACATTAAAAAAAAATATTTAATGTACAGAAATTATCAGAGATATTGAAATCTGTATAACATTTTAGGTAGTTTATTTTCTAACACTTGAGTTATGAGTTACAAGTACTTCATTGAAAGAGTAATTACAACAGATGATTACATTTCTCTCTGTTTATTCTCAATATTGTTAATTTTGTTTTATATATATAATTAAATCGTATTAATTTTATGACAAGACACCAAATAGAAGTAAAGTTGAAAATAATTAAAATTATATTAAAAAAAAATAGATTTGTTTATTTAATTATTGTTCGTAAATATTATGTGAGTAACTTCTGTCATTACCCTTCGAGAAATGTGGAATGTGTTGTCGTGAAAATTTGGCATAAGTGCAAGAATTTATCTAATTCGAAGCTCAAGTGTGAGTCAATAACCATGCTTTAACTAACCGTTTGTTCTACTTCATTCCTTTCGTAACTTCGCTAAACAGACAATGTGGAATAAAAAAGAAAGGAGATCGATAGAACTTGATTCTAAACGGGAGTGTTAAGGGCGGTGAGGAAAATCAGATGATAGCATTGCAGAGCAGACGAGATAGAGAATAGCGAGGAAGAACGGAGATTTAAGTAGGGACGAGCTCGTTCGAAGTCTTGAAGATGTCTATGATATCTTCTCTTTGAATCGTTTCCTTGCTGCTATCGCATCACCTGTCGTTGCCATCGTACTCGTTACATTCGCCGACCCTTCCGCCGCCAGTGGCTTCGTTCTTCATGGCGGATAAAAAGAAATCGAATTACAGGTGGAGGCGTACGATCTGTCTACGATCAATTCGGTCATTCTTCCGAGGTCAATGTGGACGATTTGCGTTAGCAACCGTTTTTCCGATAGATTATTTTATCGCGCGCGTGTCTCGAAAAATTGCCTTAATATTTGTACGCTTATATCGAAGAAAACAATATAAATTCGCTGAAATTAGTTAAGAAAAATATAAATGCCAATTGCTATGTTTGCGATTGAGTATTATTTGATGAAAAAATTATTTATATTACATGTAGCACAGATACATATGTTTGAACTCGCTAAGATTGTGTGTATCTATTTTTATTTCCGAATCTATTTGCAAAGCTAAATAATAACAATTTTAGGAAATTGATTATATCATATTATAAAAAAATGTGATTTATTTATATAGTAAATTCGCTAAACATCCTTTAAAAATTATTCTCTGTGTACTTCGATATTTTATGACATGGTTTCACTAATTCTAAATTTATCGAATGTGCAGCAATGGAAGCCGAGGATAACGAAGAGATCAATGACAGTATCGAGAACTCCAGAATCATTTTTTCGTCAGATGTCATGCACGATGGCGGCGGTGACGAAGGCGGAGGAGACGAACAGCTTCTTCACATCAATCGGCTGCAGCAACACGTCAACTCGGAAAAGACCTTCAACCGGTAAGTAGCTCGTTTCATTCTCTAAAAGTCTGTCATTTATGTTGTATGACTTTATTCCCCTCGCTTTGGCAAATCCTTCACGATATATACGGAAATATGCAAAGTGTTGGCCGTATAACTGAAAGCTAAATAAAAAAAATACGGAGCTTCCTCTCAGCGATAATAATGTGCGCATGGAAAGACCGAGAGTACGACGATATACATCGTGCGAGAGATGTCGATCAATCCAAACGCATAGCGTAGATTACGCCGATGTGTCGCTATGCAACAGCATTCATACCTTTCCGCTTTATCCGTCATTATTTTGCGCTTCACCGTGATCTTCTATTCAGTCTCACGATGTATTGAATAATTAATTCATAATTTATTTACGCTCGATACTACAGTGGTCCAGTAGTTCGTTCCGATGACTGGAGATATATAAAAGAGTGTACGTTATATTTACAGTATTATAATTATAGCGAATACACAAGTAAGTGCAGTTACACAAAATAGATAAAGCATACCCAGCAATTTAATAATTTGTATATAAGTAGATAAGACATTATTGGCATTGACATACGAAATTACTATTACACTAATTATACAGTGTAATAATTATTGGATTATGTGAATAAGTCTCTTGTAACTTAATTACTATAGTATATTTATTTATAGGCAGTATCATGCTTTTGTTTTAAAGTTTATCAGAGAGTCGATTTAAACAGAAATTTTACTGATTATAGAAAAAGAGAGCACAATATAATAGTTTTATTCAAGCTAAATCGCTGTGCAGTTTATCTCATGAGATTGTTCTTTATGTATGAGATAATATTTTTATATTCGTCATGTGATACAATTTAACAAAAGAAAACAAATATGACAATATATCTGTACAGAAGGTTCTAACGAAATCGAACGTGGCGTTCGAAAATCGTTCTGTTTCTTTACAAGCTTTTTTCTCGCAAATTGCCAAGTGAGTTTAACGAACTTTCTTCGTTGGGAACGCCGCGTTTTCTTCCAATTTCTTCAGATGCTTATTCTTACCCTTCCGTCCGACGGCTTCATATCGGCGCAGACAGAATTCGCTTGAACGTATCTACGAGAAGAAGAAGAAGAAGAAGAAGCTGCTATGCACGATTCGGACGTTGTGAGCACGGACTGGCCAAATATACATGGTGCGTCAGCGTCGCGGCGCGCGGCGTCGCGTCTTCCCTTCTCTGCGCCGTTTCAACTGCCGGGCGCCTCGTTTGAGGTCATCGTCATCCGGCCTCTTTCGCTCTCTTTCCCGTACGTGCGACCATCCCCGTCTTCCTTCTCTTTGCGGTATCCTTTATACCGTCCCTTCCCCTATCTGTCTCTCTTTCTCACTCTCTTATTTTCTTCATTTGTCTTCGTTCTCTCGTTCGGGGCATTCGGACGCGTCTCGGATGAGCGAACTTTGAAGCAAGTATACGTGGGTACACTTCTATGTCGCAAACACAAAATCATCCAAAATATTGTCATTACAAAATTCAAAAATTTATACAAGGATGGATGTAGATGTCGAAATAGAACAGCCATTTCTTAAAAACTTTTATTTTATATTTTCAAATTAAAATAAAAGCACAGAAATTATTCTTTGGCATTTTTTTTATACTTCGCAAATTATAAATAATCTCAATGATGTAATTTCTTACAACACTTGTAACTTTTTAGAATAAGTGTACAATAAGGAAAATGATTATTGTATTCCGCATATATGGTATATTTCTTAAATCTTTGAGTATCGTACTAACTATTATAGATTTATCGCAATGAAAATCTTTGTGACCTTATTAAAAATTCTCGGAATTATTACGCGTGTACAACTACAGGAAAAATATAAATCTTCTACGGTAGAAGAGTTTTCGATTCGCCTCGCGGTTAAGTGGACCTAGGCAAAAAGCGGAAATAGCGTGCTGCCCCATTCGCCGGTGAAACCGCCGTTGTTTTTTTCGCAAACTGTAGTCCATGCACGAGACCGTACCTACTAAGAATATTAGCATACGCGCGATCGAACATAATTGTGCCTTCCACGAAAAGATATATCAAACTTTCAAGAGAAACGTCCCGATCTTAGTTTGTATTGTCTAAAGTTTAACCCCCCTAACATTTCACGAAGGAATATAAAAAGTTTAAATGTGCTAGTAGCGTTGACAAATTGACGATCAAAAATTAATTTGTGAAGATTGTTATTTCATTGTTAAATGATTGTGTTGCAAGGTCGACAGTTTGAGATGAATATACATATTTCGAAATTTATTATAATTGTTTTTATCCCAACACATCTCTATTTGATCGTATTTTGTTTAATGTGTCTCCAAAATCTTGGAAATATAATGTAACTTTTTTAAAGAGTAAAATTTCATTTTTACATTGATAATTAAGCGACTCTTGTTCAACACTGGCTCAATCGTTACTCGATCTTTATCTGCATTCTTTAGAATTAAATTCCACTTTAAAGACTTTAGAGAGTATTTATATGGTGCATTCATACATATCGATTGTATTCTTATTCTTAATATAAAAAAGTATTGTAAAAAATATAGGTTAAAAATATATGTTTGGATAGTTTCCTTGATATTTAAACATATTTTAGGTACGTTATAATGCATCTAGAAGGTGATCAAAGTGACGATTCATCTCTTAAGTCGATAGAAAAAAGATATTTCTTGTGGAGCGTAGTTGCGTGTCGCCGGCTGCTCCAATACGCCGCAGCGTGTAATTAAAGGCGTGTTTCGTAACCGCTCACGCGTTCTTGGACGGTTTCCGATTACCCACGGTTAGGGATAACGTACGTGTATTACGCGCTCACAGGGTTCCACGTGTAACCATGTAGTTTCTTCCGGTGTATATGAGCCCGGAAGACGTCGAGTTAACGTAGAAAAGCAAGATGTTCTCGGCGAACGAAGAATATCGCAGGCATGACTACGCCTCGCTCTTCTACCATGGAACTCATGGTATTAAATTCATTTTTCCACGTAAAAAATTAATACACGGTAAAAGCGCACGCGAGCTAATATTAAACCTCGTGGCGTATCTCTATCTTGAAAGCATTTTCGCGCGAAGGCATAGCTTCCTGACACTTTGATCTTTATTCGCATCGCTTAACGTTAAACGTGACCGCTTGACTTTAATCTTGGTGTTTACCGGATATACCACACCAGATGACATGAATAAAATTCGTTCGCAGTTAAATTTACCGCTAAACGAGCGACGTAAGATATAGATCCTTTGTTCTCGTCTGCCGTTAACGCGTTAAGCTGTGTTCGTTCAACCGAATTATTTGTTACGTCGGGACAACCTGGCGGTCTCTTTCCGAAGAAGCGATAATTATGGATGGCCAAGTAGAATCGTCATCGGCGACCATTCTAGACGCTAATACTTTCGACGTCGCGACGCAGTTCCGTGAAACGCGCGTCACGCGTGCATGGGAAATATTTCGGAATACCGAACGGGTTAGAGGGGGAGGGGAGGGAAGGGGGGGCGACGGGTCGACCCGACGGGTTTGTCCGGATGGTACGCCGTGTGCGTACGACACCAACCGGCAGACGAAACAAAATACTGCTAAAATTAATCCGGGCCTTAGGTCATGTCTGCAAGGAGTCTAGACGACGACCACGACGACGCCGCCGAGGACGACGACGCGACTCGCCGCCGAAAGTGGACCGAAGCGTGTAGGCGCGATACTTTAACGAGTTCTGGTATTTCCACACGTTTCCGACTTCCTGCTATACCTCCTCGCGTTCATCGTCATTCTGTCTTTTTTTTTTTCCCGCTATATTTACCATACTGTCTGCTCCTTCCCTCCATTAAAAGCGTCACTTGTCTAGAAATATATGAGAATTTTCCTTTTCGCGATCGAAAGATTTTAATAAGTTAATGAAATTTTGTGATTTTATATTAGAAATTTATATTAAGAATTGAGTACCTATTTTTTTTTTAGAAAAATGTGTTATCGATTAAATTTAGTAGTGTTTTTTTTAGAATGAACAGATATTTCTGTAATTTTATTTCAATTGAATGTTGGAAGTTTAAGAGCCGAAAATAAAAGTTAAAAATATATTACATTTTTGTATTCCACGAACAAATATTGTTTTCGCATTATTCGCGCCATCCTGCTTTCAATCTTTCTTTTTTACTTTTTCTGTTCTCTGATATTTCAAATACAGTATATTTCTTTATCATTTACAATTTTATTTTAATAGCACCATCAGAGGTGAAGTGAAATTTATTTCCATTCTTCGGTTGTTGAAATTCAATACTTTGCCAGAGAGCTTTAGAGATCGATCTCCCCTATGAATCTATAAGTTACGTAAAAGTCGTTTATGTAAATTTAATCGACAAAACACTTTTTATTTATTTAACCTTTTTCCACGTTCATTAATCATGTAATTTACCAAGCGTTGCGTGTATAAGTAATTTCTCCATAGAACTGTTCTAAACTGGTACATTGAGAAATATCGCTACACTTTATTCACCATTGTTGCTACAACAACGGATTCTAATTCTATTATAAATCGCCGTTGGTAGGCCACGAAAGTCCTTTATCGCAGATTACAACCCCCTAACGCGCACGCCACCAATTCGATTTGCGCTGTTGATGTGAGTCAGAAACGACGAAATTTCGTTCATGACTGGGTCGATCCTGGCCGTCGAATATTTGCCATGTCGCATCTCTGTTGCCACTACGGAGAATAGATAAATACGGACATTGTTCAATGTGAACACAGCTTTCGGCATGCCAGATGGCATGATTTTCCGATCGTCCGCTTTTTCTTCATCCGTTATTGATCGCACACTCCCGCTTTTCATTTGCGAAATTATTACTCGATGATAAACAGTTGAGAATTATTCCTAGTTAGGAAATGTTATTTATCGATTTATATTTATCCGTTCATTATGTTGTTGCATGAACTGACTCATTACGGAAATAGAACAATTGTCTTCGTAAAAGGGGCAAAAATAAAAATGATACAATGGACAAACATTATTTACCG